TTTGGTTTGTTTTTTTTTTTTGTGTGTGGTAGGGTCTATAAGAAGAGTGTAAAAGAACAAGTCTTACAGATGAGATGGAGAAGGGGCAAGTGAAAGCAGTGGGAAGCAAAGACAATGGGGTTAATCAATAGSAAAAGTGTTTCTGTTCTTTATGTGAGTTCATAGATGAGACTCTTCACATGGATTCAGGCAGTGCAGGCACTTTCAGATGCTTTGTATTCAAAGATGGCCCTCTCATTGTTCTTTCTTACAGAGCTCCATCGTTTTCATTCCTGCCTTTCTGTGGACYTGATGGGGATTATTACAAGGTGGGACAGAGCTGTCTCCAACCTACAGCCATTGCACTCACCCCACTCCAGGACTTATGCTGCATTTTAAAATTGCCACGTGCCTTAATCATTAATGAAGGCTCTGCTATCCCAAGTGGGAGGTCAGGAGATGAGGAGGGAACATGGACACTGACATGAACTCATGGATTCAGTTCGTTCATGTCCTGGCCTGGGACTTGCTCCTTCCTCTTGTTCCACAACAAGGAAGGTTGTGCCTCAGATCTGGAGCCTGCTCTGCTCTAATCACATCAGAAATTTAATCCTTTTGAACTGCAAACCAATACYAATTGTGGGGGTGCAGGCCTTGGACAGTGGAGATCTGTTTGCCTTGGTAAACAAAAAAAMCCTGAGTAAATAAATACAATTAAACACAAAGAAGCCAGTTCACAGAGAACTAAAGCCATGAGAAAAAGACTGAGAAAAAATGAAAAAGAGATCAGAAGAAAAACAAGCTATACCCATTGCTACACATTATATGTAAATCAAAACTAATTGTTAATTGTTTGAACTCTTATAAAATACRATTATTCTTTATAATAAATGACTTTGCATGCAAAAAAACCCTAAAGCAAAGTGCGTGTTGCAATCACTAGTAACTAATTTTGCAGATCTCCTCCCCAGTTGAGATATCCTCAGTCTGCAGGTTCTGAGAGGTGTCAGATCTCCTTGCTCTATCAAACCTGCTCTGTATCGCTGCTCTGCATTTCTGACAGGTTTCTRCAAATCATTTAATCAGACTCCTCTGTTCTTACTAACAGAGGCCAGCTGCAGCAATCCTGCCAACTGCACATCAGAGGGAAGAGCAACAGGGTAGTTTAAAGGAGATTGGGATAAGGCAGAATAAAGGAAAGTAGAGAGGAGATGGCTGGGGGGAAGGAAAAAAAAACCCAACCCTACATTGTTTTAGGAAAAAAATGTTTCAGTCTTTTGGGGAGAAATAATATGTGGGATTTAGGAAATCTGTATGTAATCATAAGAAAGAACAGGGACACTGCCTTAGGCCTATGAGGAAAAAAAATATCTGATGTTTTAACAAAGAAATAGAATGAGCTAAATTTAGGTACAACAAGAAAGCAGAATTTCCCTCAAAACCTCAATTTGCTTTCATCGCCACCACAGTAGTGACAAAAGATGTTATGACAATGTTTGTGGGTTTGGTTGTTTTCAGAGCTGCCTTTATCCAGCAAGGACATGTCATTTCTAATCTGCAGCCCATCTTCCTGTCAGCACCATCCTTTATTGGATTCAAAACTCAGCAGGGACGTCTACGCTTCCCAGAACAAACAGCTTTCTTCCCCTACTTTGTCTTTGATAACCACTGCACAAATGGAACATCTTCTGATGGAATCCACTCAGGTCACTGCTGGCCACTGCCAGCCTTTGTTTAATAACAACTCAGGAGTTTTACAAAGGACTCTTATTGCACCTCGGAGGCTGCTCTAACAGCACAGAGACAAGAGATAATCCGGGACAAAGCAATTTGGGTTTCTGCTTTATCAGCAGCAGCAAAAAAAAAAAATGAGATTCAGAAGATGCATTTTAGTCCTTTTGATTTTTTTAAAAAATTCTTTTTCTTTTTTTCTTCAGCTTGGTAGGTATTACTGACAGCAGAATTCCTCCTATGGAAAATTTCTGCTTTGCTGGTGTGAGATTGTGATTCAGTGGGGCACTGAGGCTGAGTCAGTGGAAGCTGCCTGTGTGCACCTGAGGGACGGATCAAACCTTGACTGTTMACGAGAACAAACAGACTCTGAAATTCCCAGCAGACCAGATCCATCCAACAATGCTGAGTGAAGTGCCCTGAGCAAATCTCTCCAGGTCCTGTGMTGGAGATCAATCCACCTGTGCAGTACTCCTTGAGCACAAATTCTCCATTTTTCCTTCCAGGTGARTCCCTTTTCATTTGTTTGGTTTTGCATGGTGCAGACAGCATGGCTCTCACAATTTTCAGACCACCTATATTTAGACCTTGAGGAGCTGATGTTGACTTAGACCTTCAGGAGCTGCCTCGATGACTCACTGGCATCCAGTCAGTGTGCCAGCAAAAAAAAATGAGCCCTCTCCTTCCCTTTTTATTATTTAGGTGCTAAATGAAATATTTACTGGCTTGTTTTTCATTACACAGGTTCAGAACTGGAGAAAACAAGGCTAAAATGGGTCTTCACAGTAAAAGGGGGGCCCTGGTTGAGTTCTCATCCATTCCCAGCTCTGTTGGGGTCTCATGGATACAAATGGCAGATTTCATCACCTGCTGCTACATCTGAGATTCCTGACCCTCAAAATAGGTTGGTTTAGGGTTGGTTGGTTTGGTTCCTCGGTATTTAGGGCAGCAGAACTTCCCTGCTAAATGGAGGGTGGGCTGTGAACAAAGGATGAAGTTGCATAAGGAACCGAGGAAGAACGAAGCCGGGGACAAGATGACAGGATAAATTTGGAATTATAGYGACTAGATCCAGCTCTTTCACCTTCCCACTTCAGCACATCTGAGGACTAAGCTCCCTGGGTTGGGGCCACCTACTCCTAAAACACCCACAACAGATCAGGGGTGCTCCAGTCTCCCCCTAAGACAGGGCTGCCTTTGGGATCCACCTGTGCTGACAGAGCAAAGGAAAAAATGGAGCAGGTGATGGGGGAGAGGCATGAAAATAAAGAGCAGCTGTAAAACTTGAATGTTCCTGGAGTTCTCATCTATTTTCACTCTCAGCAGGAACTCATGGAGTGAAGTAGAAGTATGGAGTGGGACAGGAATCAGGAACTGGCAGATTTCTACTTCGGGCCAAGATGAAGAACTACCAGGTTGTATTTTTCTGGCCAGGAATTACCTAAATACTCTCATTTCACCCAGTTCCATCATACCTTCTTCCATCCAAAATAAAACAGGATTTAAAAAAAAAAAAAAAAGCCCTAAATAATAGAAATCATCAAAAACTGATTTATTCTTGGGGCACTTCCAAGAAGTGTGATGAAGATGTGCATGACCCAGAACTCAGGTAGGGACAACCTGTAATGGAACAGAAATCTGGGGTGCCTTCACTGGAAAATCTCCAGAACTTTGGGAAAGAGATGAAGCTYGACAGACCCTGAGGTATCTCACATTGGTTAACTCTGGCTGCACACTGGACATGTCTCACATGATACACGGGGAATTTGAAAAGATGAACCATCTTAATTCACAGCATGCACAGGGAAGTACTTAATTGCCACTATTCAGTGCTGTTTTTAATGTTGGAGCTGACTGCAAAATTTAAAGTTTAAGTAACAGAAGAACAATTTAAAAGARTTCAGCTGGGCCACTTCTGTGTTCCAAGCTGGATACATTTGTACCGCCCTGCCTAATTGTTTTTGTGTTATTTACTGAAGCATTTATAAAAGGTTGAGCGTAAAAGCAGGGAATATAGTTCTTGCAATGAATAATTTGCATTCTTTATTCAGTGCAAATTAATTCAAGTCTCCAAGCACTGTGGGAATTAGCTTTATATGCACTGTAGAGAGCTTGAAATGGAAGKTTAAATTGATGCATCATAAAAGTTTCCATTTAATGTTTTAAGGTGTTCTTTTCCATTAGCATAGATTATTCTGTTTATAGATGCTGGAGTGCAAAAAGATTCCTGTTGTTAGCAGAGAAGACYTTGTTGGGAATGCTCAAGAGGAGACTTAGCCAAGACTTTAGGGATGCTCCACTCCAGGAAAACAGTAATTCTTTCACTGAGATTGCAGTCAATCATGCTGGGCAGGGGTTGGGGGTCCCCCACCCACAATTTATCCTCTGCTATTAGTACAAGGTTTTTCACAAGGATTATCAATGCACAGCACCCACTGGATCTGGTTTTAAGTTCAGGTTGAACTCTTCTGGATAACATAAAGCATAAAGAGGACAGAAATGCCAGTCAGGGAATCCAAGACAGAACACAGAATTAACCCACCAGGCACTCCTATGAAAATATATCCCTGTAATTCAGGCTGTGGACACACAATACATATGATGACTGATTCACATCTACTTGTTCTCCACTAATTTTCCTTTYCTCCTGGTCTTTCCCCTGCAGCCCTAACTCTACTTTCACTGACATATCCATTTGCCAAACTCCCTTCTGCAGCCTGGACCAGACCAGGGAAAGGATTCTGTGCAGCCTCCTTGATGTGCATTCATCATCTCATCAGCACTGTTGGGGATTAAACTCCTCTYTTTATTTAAGAAAACTTCCAAGCCCTTTAATGAAAGAAAACCCGAAATTAACCCAAAGCAAAATGGGAAGATTTTGTTCTGTTTCCTTTGGTTCAGATCTGGGTTTTACCTGTCAGGGAATACAAAATGTTACCATGCTCTGCCTTGTGAAAAAACAAAACTTGCCCCCAAAACTTGCAACTTGACACACTCAAATCCCAGTCTCCTTTAATGAAGAACGCTGTGATCGCTGCATTTTTTGTTTTTGTTTTTTTGCTGCATCAATAAATCATGTTCAGTTCTCTCCCTGAATAGAAACAGGCTTCAGCTCCGACGCTCAGGAGGAGCTCATCCAGAACGTTACGTTAGTCAGCAAAACCACGGGACTGTAAAACTCATGGCCACTTCTCAGGCCCATCCATGAGCTGGACAGAGCCATGGGAGGGCTCGAGCAACCCAGAAAGCGTCACCCAACCAAGTTAGAAACATGCAAACATGTTACTCACCTCAAGCACAAGAAAAGCATAAAGGCAACTATAAGGGCCCCTACTGAAATACAGTGCCCCAGGTAGTTTATGATGAGAGCAATCTTGTAATGGAGCGCATACTTCCTCTGGAGGTAAAGAGATAACAGGATTAAATCAGCATCAGTCTCTGAGAACGGGCATTCAGGAACAGTTCATCACTTCAAAGAACACTCTGCTTGGCTTTACCAAGACATCATAGCCCCAGGGCTGATGCCTACGTGTAAGGCAGACATTGCCCAGGCACACAATTACAGGCTC